AAAATGAAATTTGGGTGTTTTATTTGAAACTGACTGGAAACTCTTGCCCTAGAAATTCACAGATAGCTTTGGGAAAGAATGCAGGAATGTCGCCAAAGCTGTAAAGCTAGGGGCAGCTATGTGGCGCAGTAGATAGAGCACCAGTCCTGGATTCAGGAGGAGCTGAGTTCAAATCCAGCCTCACACACATAATACTTACTAACCCTGTGACCCTGGGCAAGTCACTTAACCCCATTGCTTAGCCAAAATTAAAAAAAAAAATTTAAATAAAAGCTGTAAAGTTACATGGCCATTCAACCTCTTGACTTATGGCCGGCACTTGTAGCATTGTGGCAGATGAAACAACAGCACAGACTCAGTGAAGAGACTTCATTTGTTACCTGTCGTACAATGCCTTCAGTTGAGTAGTGCTATTGAATAGCACTGTTTGGGCAGCTCTTCTGGCTTTCATATCTTCACTGTTGAACCTTATTAGTGACGGCAGTGGTTTTCTTTATGCATAAGCTACTGCACACCAAAATTGAGTAGGTTACATACAATTTTAAAGAATGTTTTTGAGCATCTTCTTTTGGTTGTCTTTAAGGCCAGTTCCATCTCTCTTGCTAGCTATATGTAAAAGGAGCCAGACACTTAAAATGATGATGAAATCCTTATGTTCTTCTCTAGCCCCAACTTTGGATGGATTATAATTGAAACAATACCCAGTACTACTAGGAGGGAGAAACCACATCTCCCCCTATGCCCCCTAAGTTTGAACAAAAACAATTAGTAGAAGATGTAATTAGTGCCACATTTAGCAGTGACAGTTAAGCAGGAGAGAGCTAAAAAGCACTGCTTAATGGAGTGGAGAAAGGGGACCAAATTTTATTTTGAATAATGAAACCAAATAATATTGAGTATGATTTAAACTCTAGGGAAGCCTGAAAAGTTCATCTCTTCTGAGTATGGTTTACTGTACTGCTAAGGGAGAGAAATTAATAGCATATGTTGCGCTTTGACTGAATGCTAGTACCAGGATTACATAATTTTCATATTAGAAAAACACATTTTGGCAAAAGAATTTTGTATAATCAGCCAATTGAAAAAAAAAGTTCGTATGAAGGGCCTACTGTAGTTAACAGATTACTTTTTACCTGGCACTATAATTCTGAGATGCAGTTCTCAGGAGGTATTAGGCAGATGTGTTTTCTCTAGGCAATTTTACTAACTATAAAAAAACTAATGTAATTTATCAAAAGGCAGTCTTTCCATTTCCTCTCTTTGAATTCTGTCACTCTTCAATTTTAAAGAGAGGACAATGATGATCTATTATGGAATTTAAAATTTTCATTGCTGGTGAATTCAGAGAAGCAATTTCAGTTCATCCATGAAGGAGGGCCACATGAGGAATGGTTATGCTCTTTTTTATTAAATAAAAATGAAAATTATTTGGGACTGACGAATGGTTAAATTGAAAGCTGTATACTCAACAGTAGTAAATTAGAGGTCTCAATATAGTTCTCAATGTCAGCAGTAATGGAAATAGGAAAGTCTTAGGGAGACTTACTGAGACAGAAACATTTAAGTATAAGTTATAGCAGGTGAAACAAAATTATGAAAATATTTGAGAGACTTAGGTGTTGAGGACATCAGCTTTGAACATATTTGACGTAAACTAGAATGCACATGTAAAAGCCAAAGCCTTAATTGAAAAAAAAATCTACCAGATTTGGCATCTTATGACCTGGATTCTAATTCTGTCTCTGCCTTGGTCTAGGTCTAGGCCTGGGCCTGTCTCTTTAGTCTGCTTTTAGTGGACCATCATCCTTGACTCACTCCCTGCGCCTGTGTACTGCAGGGTCCCAACTTCTCTTTTCTTTCTTTGTATCTAGTTCCTGCCTTTCCTGAACTGTAGTTACCTCAAACTCATGATATCCAAAACAGAATTGATTTTCTTTCTTTCCAAACAAACCCTTTCCCTAATTTCCCTGTTTTTGGTGAAGATTCTGTCATGTTCCTATTCACCTGGGTTTGAAACCTCACCCTTCTTTAGCTAATCTCTCTCTCTCTCTGTCTCTCTCTCTCTGTCTCTCTCTCTGTCCCTCTCTCTCTCTCTCTCTCTCTCTCTCTCTCTGTCTCTCTGTCTCTGTCACAACCCTCCCATCCAGTCAATTGTGAAACCTTGTCAATTCTCCCGCCATGATGTGTCTCCTGTATTTTCCCGGTCTCTCCGTTGATGCCACTCTCCTTGATCAGGGCCTCTTCATTTCACGCTTGGACGGTTGTCGTAGCTTCCTAATTGTTCCCTCTGCCTCCCACTGCTTTCTTCTTTAATACACTTCTCTTAAAGCTTGGGGCTGATGGTGTCACTACCTTTTAAAGAAACTCAGCAGTTCCCTAATGACTTGAGGATAAAGCTTCTTTGTTCTCTGGCTCTAGTCTGTCTTTTCTTTTAGGGTGTTGAACATTACTTTCCTTCATTCACTTACAAGTTATAAGCAGCCTGGCGTGCTTACTATTTCCCATATGTAGCATATCATTTCCATCTCTGTTCCCTTGCGTAGGATATCCTCCGTGCCTGGTATGTACCCTTTCCACAGCTCTGCCTTTTGGACCTCCCCCTCCGTTCTTCAAAGGTCAGCCCAGATATTGCCTCCCGAGGGACTGGATCTGATCTCCATTTCCCCACCCACCCCCACACCTGGCTGCTGGTCCTCTCCACCCCTCAGACTGAACTGTGTTCAGCTTTCTGTGTGCATGTTGATTTCTTCCCCCTCCCCCCAATATAATGGAAGTCCCTCCAGGGCAGTGTGGCACTGTGGGAAGGTCACTTGGTTTAGAGGAGAGGACCCACTTTCTAATCCTCTTGTGACCTTATGCTAGGCCCTTAAGCTCTCTGATCCTTGGTTTCGTTATCTGTAAATCGGTATGTTTGGATGGAATGAAATGAATGACTAAAAATTCACTTATTAAACACTTTAGCTTTGTGCTGGGCCCTGTCCTAAGCACTGAGGATCCATACCCAGGTGAGCCAGGCAGCCCTTGCTCTCCAGAAGCTTCCATTTTAATAGAAGGCTGCACATTTAGGGGGACGAGAGTTGGCAGGGCAGGTGATATGGCGGGGAAATAGATGATGGGCCTGGGAACGCTTCCAAGAGGAGAGCTCAGAGTCTTAGTGACTGGCTCTCTCCACCTTAGTCAAAGCTGCTCTCTTCTAGCTATGTCAGAGGAATCCTTTGGCCCTTTTTTTTGGTGTTTTTGTGTCCCTGGTGCCATAATAGGCACTCAGTAAATGATGGTCGAATACACGTTGAGAATTGACAGTTCCTGTGAGAATTGGTTCTTCAGAAACGGTTGCCCGCCCTGCTGCTTGTGGCCTCCTTGTCCATGAGTGGCCATGAAGTAGACACTCCCTCAGGCAGAAATGAAAGACTTCTGAAATGAGATTCTGTGGAACAGTGATTGCGTGCTGCAGTGGTTGGACTTTGAAGAGGAGGTGCTCAGTGGACCCATATCTGCAAGGAAGCCTCATGGATCTTAGGGTCATGGCATCCTAGAAGTAGAGCTGGAAACACCCTGGAGGTCATCAAGATGACCGTCTGATTTCATAGGTGGGGAAACTGAGACCCCCAAAGGTTTTAGTGACTTACCGTATAGCAAGATTTTACTGTGAAACGTTTGTTTTTCACTCATCAAAATCGTAACTCACTATTTTCTAGCACTTTAAGGTTGCTGAGTGCTTTCTTCATAGCAGCCTTGTTACCTAAGCATTGTGCTCGTGTTATCCATGTTTTACAGATGATGAAACTGAGCTAACAGAGATTAAGGGATTTACTCAAGGCCATCCAACTAATGAGACTCAGAGTGAACTCCTCATCCAGTCTCTTTACACCATACTACTTTCTGTTTTTACACATAGCTGTACTGAAAAAAATATATAAATACATGTATATATATATATATATGTGTATATATATATATATATGTATATATATATATGTGTGTGTGAACATAGGACTTCTGACTCAGTTTCTAGTTTTGTTTTTGTCACAGACTTTGGTTTACCCAAGTGAGTGATAATAAAAAACGAAAAACAGTACCTTTGGTCTCCTGCTAGTCTTCTTTTTTAAAAGCATAGCATGATCAATAACTGATCATTCTATGAGAAATTTGAAGTTCTAAATGAATCAGTCCATAATTAGTCTATCACTTTGTATACCTAGAACAGCCAGTCTGAAAAGGCACAAGTCGGGCCCAGAATTAAACCACAGAAGGAGAGCAGTGAAGATTACCTTTAAGGAATTTAGAGTTCCCCTGATTCCCCCTTGATGTTCCTGGAAACAGGAACATAGTTGGTCTGAGCAGGATGCAATGTATAAACAATGAGGAATTTTAAAGGGTCGCCTCCAGGAAATGTATGATAGGGAAAGAAGATAAGTTTGTCATGTGTCAAGGGTGAGGAATAAGAGATCAGTAGCCGCAGTACTCCTCAGATGTTCTTGCCATTTTGGGAGAAAGCAAGAAAGGGCCCCATGGAGATGGATCCATTTCATTGGTGTGGAGAGTAGCTCCCTCTACCCATGCAGATCTTACCTGCTTCTCAACTTAGAGTTCTGGAAAGATGCCTGGGCACTCAGGGTTAAGTGACTTACCCACTGTCATTCAGCTAGGAGATATCAGGCAGGACTTGAACCCAGGTTTACCTCATTTTTAAGCCTCACTCTGTGTCTACTATACTCCTTCCTATACACTATTCATTTCAAAATTAAACACCTATTGTGAGTGCGACACTGTACTAAAATGTTTTTTGAAGAATCTGAAGAATTTTTCTGTATGTGTGCTATTTACTGGCTTCTTGATGTGATTGAGAGTTGTCTTCAACTCTTTTCTCCTCTAGAATTATGAGGTTCTCTTTCTTAACTAAATCCTTAACTTCAGATGGAGAGAATTAGATATGAATTTGAATCTAAGTTTTAGGATGTACACATTTAATTACTAATCTTTCCCATTTTTTATTTCAGTTGATCCTATTAAAATTTTAATGCCTTCCTTGTCTCCCACGATGGAAGAAGGAAACATTGTGAAGTGGTTGAAAAAGGAAGGTAAGTGACCTCTCTGTGTGTGTGTGTGTGTGTGTGTGTGTGTGTGTGTGTGTGTTTATTTTGGATTTTTTTGGTTTATGATTAGTTTCAGTCGTGGTTGGTGCAAATTAAACTGGTGTAAATTGAGCGACTTGGTCAGCTTATAAAAAAACCAAGTAAAAATTTTCCCATCTTAATTTCACTCTGTTTTTCTCTTGAATAGAAGAGTGATATCCTAAGAACATGTTTCTATTTTTAGACTTTGACTTTAGATATTAGTTTCATGATATAAAAGACAACTCCCAGTCTCATTTTCAGGTTTTTTCCTTTTGACCCTTTCATTCACACTGTAACATCTATATTCAACAATAAGCATTTATTCTGTGTAAGGCACTAGCTAGGTGTCTGAGATACGAAGATAGAAAGGAAAAACAAATCCTACTCAAGGAGTTAACGCTCTAAATTCGTGTTGACTGATTGACTACTGGGGGGGTACAAAGTGTACCCAGATGATTAACTAGAATAATCAAAATCACTTCAAAAGGGAGAGAGAATTAGCAGAAGAGGTCACAGAAAGCTCCTCTGGGAGACAGCACAGGAGCTGTGCTTGGTAGGAGGGGAGGTGGAAGGGCCTCTAAGCAGGAGGGAGCGCTGGTACCAAAGGCTCTGAGATGGGAGAGGGAGCATTGCACATGGGAACAGAAAGTTCAGGAAAGGGGGTCGCATAGGAGATGAGACTGGAAGGGTAGGTGGCAACCACCTTTAATTACTTTTAGTCTACATTTATTAAGCGTTTGTTATGTGTTAGGCACCGAGAATACAAAGATAAAAAAGAAATGGTCCTTGTCCTTAAGGAGCACTAGAAGATAGTGATGCTCTCAGAAGACAAAAGGAAGTTTAGAGGATGAAAAGGAAAAACCAGAGAAATCTGGGAGGACTTTTGTGACTTGATAGAGAGGGAAGTGAGCAGAAGCTGGATAACTGTTCGTACAATGGTCATAATATTTATATAGCCACCACTTTTTTCTTTCAAAAAAATTATATTAAATTTGAAAAAAATAGTTTCCGTTCTGATTTCTTTTCTCTTCTACCTGCCCTGCCTGTACCCATTGAGAAGGCCAGAAATATGATACTCATTAAACATAGGAAGTCTGCAAAACATATTTCTACGTTAGCCATGTGTGGAAGGAAAAAAAAAAGCAAGCAATGTAAAGAAAGTGGAAGACAGTGTGCTTCAATCTGCACTCAGTTCATCAGTTCTTTCTCTGGAGGTGGAGAGCAGTTTTCATCTTGAGTCCTTCAGAATTGTCTTGGATCATTGGCTTTATGAAAGTAGCTAAGTTTCAGAGTTGATCATACTTAAAATGATGCTTACTGTGTTCAGTGTTCTTCTGGTTCTGCTCACTTCACTTTGCATCTGTTCATGTAAGTCTTTCTAGGTTTCTCTGAAACCATCCTGCTCGTCATTTCTTAGAGCACCATAGCATTCCATCACAATCACATACCACAACTTGTTCAACCATTCCCTAATTGATGGTCATCCCCTCAATTTCCAATTCTTTGCCACTACAAAAAGAGCTGCTATAAATATTTTCGTACGTACAAGTCCTTTTCATTTTTCCTTAAATCTCTTTGGGATATAGACCTAGTAGTGGTATTGCTGGGTCAGAGGATGTATACAGTTTTGCAGCCCTTTGGGTGTGGATCCAAATTGTTCTCTAAAATGGTTGGATCAGTTCACAACTCCACCAGCCTTTGTCATCTTTCTTTTCTATCATGTTAGCCAGTCTGATGTTTGTGAGGTTCAGGCCCTCATCATCCCTCTCCTGGACTATTGCATTGACCTCATGTTTGGTTTCTTTCTGCTTCACTACATCTTCCATTTGGTTTCCAACATAATTTTCCATAAGGGAAGATGTGACTGTTTTACTCCTCTACTCCATAAACTACAGTGGCTGTAGGATCAGATAGAAACTGCTCTGTTTGGCTTTTAAAGCCCTTCCTGCCCTGTTTGGACTGGCTTTCTCTCTGTTCCATCTCCCACTTCAAAATCTTGATACACTGGTTGTTCCCTGAGTCAGAAATGCATTCCCTTCTCACTGTTTCACTAATATTGGCATCTAGGGGATTCCACAGTGCCTGGAGTCAGACATTTACTAGCTGGGTGACTCTGGGCAAGTCACTTAACTTCTTTTGGACTCAGTTTCTCCATCTGTAAAATGGGAATGATAACAGCACCTACCTCCCAGGATTGTTGTGAGGAGCAAATAAGATGATATTGTAAGGCACTTAGCAGAGAGTGCCTGGCACATAGGAAATACTATGTAAATGTTAGTTATGATTACCATTATTTATTGTTATTACCACCTCACAGAGTCACTACTTAACTCCTTCTTCATTAGCCCAAGCATTTCCTTTGGCATGAATACTTTCCTGATTCCCCTTTTTTCCAGTTGACAGTACCTTCCCTCCCTACTTTGTATCTATTTTGTATTTTTATGCATTTATTTGTTCTCTCTCTCTAAATGCACACATACACATTGTCTTCCATTTTAGAACAGAGGTTCTTAATTTGAGTGTGTGAGCTTGGTTTTTTCCCCTAATATTTTGATAGCTGTATTTTAATATATTTGGTTTCCCATAGAATCCTAAATATTTTATGTTATGCATTTTAAAACCTCATTCTGAGGAGTATGTTGACTCCAGCAGATTGCCCAAGGGTTCCATGACACAAGCAATATTAAGGACCCTTGTTTTAGAATGTAAGTTTCTTCAGGGCAAGGATTGTTTTGTCTTTCATCTTTTTTTTTTTTTTAATCCCTGTACTTAGCAGTTTTTTGTCCTTAGCAGTTGCTTCATAAATCCTTGCTGGTTGAGTATACTTAGAGATCACCATTGGCATCGTCATGAGGGCACTGGCAGATGAGGCAGATGACCTTCCCTTCCCATGTCTGCAATACTGCTGCCTGTCATCACATCTTCTGAAGAGCAGCTGTGGTTGCCTCATCCTTGTGGGGCCTTCCTCTGATCCAGGCCACCAACCTCAGGCAACTGAGTGACTGACTCGGGGTCAATTAAGCTTTTGTGAGTTTGTGTCTAAGAACATTTTACCTTCATACATAATATACTCTCTCACACTCTATTTCTAGGTTTCTCATTTTTGATGAATTATAGAGTTCTGGCTATTTTTGTATTAAATGTGCTGGCCTGGTATTATTCTCAGTTCTCAAGTCATGGTTCAATCACAGAACAGTCTTTTAGAGATAATTGTAAGAAGATTAATTTCACCAAATTTCTAGGCCTAATTAAATATTGCCAAAGAAGATTCCTTGGACTCATATTTGTCTCCTTGTAGCCCACTGTCACTTGATAAGTTATTTATATATATGAGAACATGAAGAATATTAAAAGAATTTATAGATTTATCACCTCCTCAGCAGTGTGGTATAATGGAAAAGTCAGTGGCTAGATTTGTTGTAGAGAAGAAATGGGGTCACCTCCTAACTCTGCTGCTCACTACTGTTTGTGTGCCCTTGGGCCATGTTTCCTCACCGGGGAAATGAGGCCCAGGTGATCTCCAAAGCCTCTTCCAGTTCCAAATCCAGAATTCTGGTCCATTTTCATATATGAAGTGTGCTGTTTTGTCTTAATTTGGAGGTTTTACAGATATCTTAATAACCAATACTTTCTTCTGAATGTTGCTCTTAAAAAGTCTCATCTCTTTATAAGGCAGTGCCACTTGGTAGAAGTTTTGCTGATAGTTTAAAGCAGTAGTATTCCCTTTTTCCTGTTGGAGTCATGCTTTTAGGCCCACCTGAAGGATGCTATTACTGTATGGATTTATTGTTTATACAGTGTTGGGGTTTTTTTGGGGGGGGGGTTTCTTCCATAGGTGAGGATTATATTCTCTTCATATATAAAAATATATAGTATTTCATATCAATACATATAAAACATGCACATAAATAATATGCATGTTTATGCACACATGCATTCATTTTAGTTCAAACATTTATTAAGTGCATATGATATATATTGAAAGTATATGTTTCTGCATGTTCAGGTTTTTATAGATGTATTATGGTGGTGGTGGTGTTCAGTCGTTTTGTTGTGGTCTGAGAGGTTCAGAGACCCCTCAAAGACCGGAGTACAGGACGGGATCGTCTGGAATGAATTTACAGACTCAGGCATTCTTTGAGTCAAGTTGGCAAAAAGTTTATTGTTATGGTTTTCAGTGGGCAACGATTCTTAAGGAACCTTCGAGAGACTGAGGATGGAGCTAGGGTTTATATGGAAAAGGGCATGGGAAAGGAATGCCAGGGATACTGATTAGGTAATCTAAAGGTCCAGGTGTCTTTGAAAGTTATGGATGGGAAAGTGTAGGGAGTATACCAGACACTGAGGGAGATGTCAGAGGCATGGATCTTGGGAATCTGGCAGGAGGAGGAGTCGTTGGGCCAGCCAGGGACAAAACTCCTTGGGCCAGACAAGACACCCCTCTCTCTGTCCTGATTAGACAATGCTCTGCAGCGAGGGAAAGTTTTCTCACAAGACAGGAGCTCACTAAGGAATTGGGAGGTTTCCAGAGACATGATCTGAGGGCTGGGGCCTGAGCAGCCCAGCACTCTCTCACCCAGCTTTGTGTAGCCGCCCCAGGGAGAGAGATAAGGGTCTTGTGGAGGCCCACTCATGAGTAATTGCTAGGCACAGTGTCCTTGGGCTGGGGAGAAATTGTCGGAGACAGTGTTTCTGAGACTAGGGAGAAATTAGGGTCCAAGTACAAGCACTCAAACACAAGCACCCAAGCACCCCATCAGTTGCAGATGACCCAAAGCAGAAGTTTTTTTGTGTTCTGGACCCCATGGTCAGTTCGGTGAAGCCTACGGACAGACCCATGCTCAGAATTGTATTTGAAATGCATGAAATAAAAGATTGTGTTTATATATAGTTATCAGAACATTAGGGGGGAAAAGCAAGCTCATGGACTCCCTGGCTAAGAACCTCTGACCTAAAGAGTTGTGAAAAGGTGCATGGTAGGTTTGTGGGTTGGCACGCTGCACTGTGGACAGTTGGACTAGAAGAGGAAGTTGGCCAATCGTGTAATAAAGTAACAGATCAAGAGCCCAAGTGTGCACTTGTGTCTGTGAAATGTTCAAGTAACTAGACAAGGTGTCTCCTCTTTGTTGGGGAGATCCTCTCAGGAGGCTAGAGGGACATGTACAACAATCAGACTGGGGAAGAAGGCTTGGGCTGTTTGCCATATGTTTCTGTAAAGGAAGTTCCCCTTTTGGTGACAGTGAAGTGTTCATTAGAGTGTAAATTACTTTTAATCTGTATTGGAAGAGCTTAAGCTGTTTAAAAAGTGACCCAAGAGGCAGCAATGCCTAGTGAATAGAGAGCTGGACTCCGAGTTCAAGTTTTGCCTTTCCTACTTAGTGGCCGCGATCCCAGGCAAGTTAATCAACTTCCCAGGACCCCCAGCAACTGTCTTAGACGAGAAAGTCTAGGGTCATTGTGACTCTGCTGGATGTAGTGGGAGTTTCCTAACCTGCAGTTTTCTATACCGGTAAAGTTACAGATCCTGTAAAAAAAGAAATGTAGCACAGTCTTTCTTGAATACTAGGATTTGTGTACCTATTTTTTCTTCCTTATTTGAGAAAGTGGTTATGCTTTGCATTGAATTATTGAAATTTTAAAAAGAATGACTTTTTGAATTAACCCTAAGAAATTGTGATTTCTTACATTAGTATATTTTCTTCACATGTTTCATTGGTCCCACTAAGCCAGACCATCAAAGCTGAAAGGCTTTTTTATAGGTGAAAGAATACACAAGAAATGGGACAGATTTTTCTGTGTTTCTGTGGTGTTACATTCTTTCCACTTAGGATAGCACAATAGCCACAGTTGGACTCTTTTCACAGCTCGGTCCTGGGTGGTCCATATGACGATGTTGAAATGGTAATTAGTAAAATGAGGAAAGACTATGTCAAAACGAATATACACAGAAGAGATACATGCAGTAAGCAGCAAAGTTTTAAAGAAACTTGAGGATTAATTGATTTGATAATTTCTCAGATCCAAGTCTTAAATATTGTAAGCTGTTCTTGATTTTAGAATTTATCCAATAAACTAATAGCAAAAAGAGGCTGTTTTTTTAGAGGGGAAAAAACCCCATTAAGGTCAGAGTGGAAACTTTTTCATAGAAGTTTTTGATAAAGACAATAGGGGTCATCAGTGTTATTCTGATGACTATAACTACTGTTCTGTAGAAGTATGCTTGCCATAATCACTTAGACCTTTATTTTGATAAAATGAAAAGTGAATGGAAATTTAACAAACGTGTTCACTGTCCTTGAATCCTGAAGCCTTTTTTCTCTGATGGAGCATTACTTCCCATTTAAAAAAATAATGATATCACTGAAGTTTTAAAATTTGTGAATAGGATCATGAATTTGAGATTTAGAAGATAACTTAGTGGTCTTCTGGTCCAGCACCTTCATTTTGCAGATGAAGAAATTGAGAGTCACAGTTGGAAAGTGATGTATGTGCCGAGCATCACGAGATATTAAAGTGTCAGGTTGAGTAGCATTGGAGAAGAAAGGCCCTCTTTTCAGGTGTTCTTGCATCTGGTCTCTTTTGCTGACCTTCCTCATTATTATATGGGTTTTCGTATCAAGAGTTTCCTTCTTACATCTCTGGATGAGATGCTCACACAGAAATATTTAAAGAGGGGTAAAATCCTTCCTATTTGAAATTTGCTTCTGTTACTAAAATAAATCAACCGTAATATATGCAATTATGTGCTCTGAGACTGTAGTTACCTCAGATGTTTTGTAGTTTTGAAAATAGTTTGAGCTTAAAACACACGTTTTCTTGATTCTGAACATTCTTTGTAGAGAATACAGTTTCATTTTATATACACACACACTGTCTAAGTGTACATACGTGTACTAATTACTCTCCAGCTCTCTGCTGGACATTTTTGATTGCGTGTCTCAGGGAATCTCTCCCTCACTAGACTAAGATTGAACTCGACATATTTGTGCCAAATTCGCCTCTCCTCTGATCTTAAATTCTTTCTGTTGAGGGCCGTGCCCTCATCCCCGTCACCAAGTACCCCAGTTGTGGGGTCACCTTTGACATCTCATTTCCCTCCCTTCAGCTCCCCGTCCTGTTACTAAGGCTTGTTGATTCTCCCTTGATGACTCTATTTCACGTCCGTGTCCTCCTTTCTGCCCACTCAGCCACCACGCTGGTGGAGGCCTTCCTCACATCTCATCTTGACTTAGAATCGCCTCCTAACTGGTCTGCTTATCGCCAGTCTCTCACCTCTCCACTCCATCCTCCATACCTCAGTCCTAGAGCCTCCCCTCCAGCTTTCCATGTTTGGCATTTAAAATCCTTGGAAGTGTGATTTCAGTCTCCATTTTTAAGCCTGTTATGCTTTACTCCCTTCAGCCAAGTTGGCCTTCTTGCTGTTCCCTACACATGGCATCCCATCTTCTGCCTTGGTACCCTTTCACAGAATGTTTCCGGTGCTGGGAATCCACCCCTTCACCTCTTAGAATTGCTCTTTTCCTTCAAAGGGAAGAGAAAATGCTACTTTCAACTTAATGGACCCCTTGAATAGCCTGGGGAAGCCTAGGAACCCCTTCTCTGAAAAATGTTTCTAAATGCATAAATATATTTTATTATATTAATTGTGATTACAAAGGAAACCAACTCTATTGAAATATAGTTATCAAAATATTTTAAAGAAAAAGTTTGTGGATTCCAGGGTAAGAATCTTGTTCTACCTGACTTTTTCTTGCCCCTTCCTAGGTACCAGTATATACTTATACACCTGCGCATCTTCTCCCTTGATAGAATGTTGGCTTCCTCAGGGCAGGTGCCATTTTATTTTTTGTCTTTGTAGCCACAGTCCCTGGCATCTAGTATATGTTTTGTAAATGTTTATTGATTAAGTCAGTAAGTGTCTTTTAAGAATGTCCTTCTTAGGGGCAGCTAGGTGGAGCAGTGGATAGAGCACCAGCCCTGGATTCAGGAGGACCTGAGTTCAAATCTGGCCTCAGACACATAATACTTACTAGCTGTGTGACCCTGGGCAAGTCACTTAACCTCATTGCCTAGCCAAAAACAAAAACAACAAAAAAAAGGAATGTCCTTCTTAAGAAATGAAAGCTATCTATAGTCATATGAAAAAATGCTCAAAATCACTATTGATTAGAGAAGTGCAAATCAGAACGACTCTGAGGTACCACATCACACCTATCAGATTAGCTAACATGACAAAACAGGAAAATGATAAATGTTGGAGAAGATGTGCGAAAATTGGAACACTAATGCTTTGTTGGTGGAGTTGTGAACTGATCCAGCCATTCTGGAGAGCAATTTGGAACTATGCCCAAAGGGCTATAAAATTGTGTGTACCCTTTGTCCCAGCTATACTACTTCTAGGGCTGTATCCCAAAGAGATCATTAAAATGGGAAAAGGACCCACAGGTACAAAAATATTTCTAGCTCTCTGTGGTGGCAAAGAATTGGAAATTGAGGGGATGCCCATCAATTGGGGAATGACTGAACAAGTTGTGGTATGTGAATGTAATGGAATGCTATTGTGCTATAAGAAATGATGAGCAAGCGGGCTTCAGAAAAACCTGGAAAGACTTATATGAAGTGATGCTAAGTGAAATGAGCAGAACCAGGAGAACATTGAACACAGTGACAGCCACACTGTGCAATGACTGACTTTGATAGACTTAGGTCTTCTTAGCAATGCAAAGATCTAAGACATCTCCAAAAGATTCATGATGGAAAATGCTCTCTACATCCAGAGAAAGAACTAGGGAGTCTGAATGCAGATGGAAGCATACTATTTGCTCTCCTTTTGTTTTGTTTTGTTTTATTTCTTCTTTCTTATGGTTTCTCCCATTAGTTCTAATTCTTCTACGTGTCACGACAAATGTGAAAATATGCTTAATATGAATGTATAAGTAGAGCTTCTATCATGTTGCATGCCATCTTGAGGAGGGGGTAGAAAATTTAAAACTCAAAATCTTATGGAAGTGAATGTTGCAAACTAAAAATAAATTATCAAAAAAATAAAAAAGAATATCCTCTCTGTAAAATGCCTCTATGAAATTGTTCTTTTTACCTAATATATTTATAAATTTTTCTTTCATATCTTTCCATTGGTACTTGATATGAATTTTGGAGCATTTCTGTTCATGAATTAATTCTTATGGCTTGAAGAAAAATGGAGGTGATGGTTGCTGTTGTTCTGAGGATATAGCCATTTGCCACCCATTTGTATACTCAAAAAGATCCATCTTAAGACCTCAAAAAAAACCTTCAAACAAACCCTGCATCTTGTTTTCTAGGTGAAACAGTGAGTGCTGGAGATGCCTTATGTGAAATCGAAACAGACAAGGCCGTGGTCACATTGGATTCAGGAGAAGATGGTATTTTGGCTAAAATAGTGGTAAGTTGCCATTTGTAGATACAGAACTTCTATAATTCTATTGCTTAATTTGTCATTTAAAATACTTTAAAATGTATAGTGTAAATGTATATTCACATTTGTCTTAGCTGTCGTGCAAATAATGCAGAAATTTAGTTTCTAATCATTGGGAAGTTTATTGTACTTTGGTTTTTTTAATTATACTTTACTGACAAGAGAAAACCTCTTTCAAGCTTTTATTTTAGTTTGATTTTTTTTTTCAGTTGGAATGAAGTCCAATGTTTATCTGAAAATCAAAGGCATGCAGCTACTGTGTATATTAAAATCTTTAGATGAAGGTGCCAACAGATTAAATGTTGATGACAACAGTTGACTTTCTTTGCAGTAGGTTAGCATGAATGTTTTCTTTTGGGCATATAATACCAGATTCTGGGCAGACTGAGGCTGTTGAGTCTCTCGAACTGAGGAGTTGTGAGCTTCATTATGCTAAAGCTGATCCGGTATCTGCTCTAAATGTAATACCAGGCTACAATTTGAAAAGTCAGAAGTGGTGCCCGTCAAGGTCCCTGTGCCTCTTTGAGTGGCCACTGAACGTCCAACCTGGGTGAGAAGTTAGGGAGGCACGGGCTCTGCATTTCCACCTCTTTCCCCCTCCCCCCCCCAAAAAAAGCTTTCCTATTCCTGTTTTTTTTCCCCCTTTTGAAAATCATTTTGGCAAGATCCAGAGTACTCAGTTGCTTGTATTTGGGTAGAGATTGTAACTCTTTGTCTCATTATTTCTGTACAGTTATCTATTTATTATCCCTGTGTGAGTTGTCTACTTTTTTAGACAGTGTGTGGCAAGATTAAAACAACAAACTGACTTCTCCTGTCACTTGTCATCATTGATGTGTTTGCAGCAAGTGTAGGTTTATTTTAATACCTACCCCCAAGCAACTGGCATAATTAGAGGAGAAAATACACTCTGAACATTTTCTTTGTGGGCATATACACATGTAGGCACTGTGGCTGGTTCATAGTAAGCACTTAATAAATGCTTGTTGACTCCTCCTTACTTGAGGTCCATATACATAGGAATACACACATACATACATGCATTTATGTGTCTATCATGTGCCTTTTCACATAAAATATGACCAATGTAATGAGAGTTTTAAAATTGCAAACATATCAAGATATATATGTTCAAGGGAGCATAATGCCCTTAAAATAAATTATCCTTAAATATAAATAAATTTTTAAATATCTTTGAATTATCTTTAAAGGGCTGTACACAGTTTTTCTTTGAGGGAATACTTTGATGAGATCACAGATTCATTGAGGTGTGCAGGTGTATGTGTGTGTGTGTGTGTGTGTGTGCACATAAGTGATTTTAAAGTTATGTTACTTTGGGTTTGTGTGTCACATGCCCTTGCATTAACTTGTTATAAATAAAGCAGATATTTTCAGCATTGAATTCATGTCCCTATTGTGTTTAAGAACTTTGTTGTATCCCATGGAAACTGCATTATTTCTCTTTCTAAAATGATCCTGGTGGAATTGAAAGGTTCCCCATTTGTGTCACACTTGGCTATTGATGTTTTTAAAAGGTGCTTAGACAGTAGTAATGGCTTGTTTAATGATCCAGATGGGTGCTGTGTAATTAGGAAAGTAATATATAGGAGAGTTACAGGTTTTAGAGGGTTATTCCATTGTTCTAAATATCTCGTGTACCACTAGCAAGGCTTTAAGTGGCTGTTTGTATGCAGAATGGCTTTTATAGAAATGCCGTTCAGAAGAGGCTTTCCAATTGGTTGTTGGTTGTTGTCCTTGGTGCTGGAAGAAGACCAAAATGACATCACATGTTGGGATTAAGGCACAGTGTGTCTGACTGGCTGATCAGACCCAGAGGAGCTCACAGGCTCTGCCACAGGTTGGGCACAAATAGTCCATGTGATCATTTGAAGTGGAGATGTGTCTGAATTTGCGCATCTTGGGGTTCTTTTGAGCTACTGCAGTTGTTTTGCTCCTAGAGTACAGCACCCTTTTTGAAGTGGGCACTCTGTGCTGCCCAATCCTGTGCCACTGTCTCCCGTGTCTTACAATCAATTCCACAGTTCTTCAGAGAGGCCTTGAGAGTGTCCTTGTATCCCTTCTTCTGACCTCTGTGTGAGTGCTTGCTTCATGTGAGTTCTCTGTAAAATAGTTTTTTAGGCAAATGTATGTTGGGCATTTGAACAGTGTGGCCAGCCCATCAGAGTTGCCTCTCAGATAAGACTAGAAGAAACACTTAATGAGGAAAATGTGGTTCAGCTATCCGAGAAGGGAAGTTCTTATACCCTTAAATCCCCAGGTCTTATGGGAAGTGATATTGAACTATTATTATATGTGGAAAGAAAATAAATGGTTTCTATGTTTATTCAGAAGGATCCTAGGTTAGAAAATATTGGAACAATACTCTATCCTCTAGTCTCATTCTTGCCTCTACATTAAGCAGTATTTTAAAAATCTAAATGAGTTGTTTGAAATTTTGACCACCTTAGTAACCTGACTCAGTATTTTAACCGTCGTTCCCATTGAGATTTTTGTCCAAAATCTTTTCCTCTCTTGAGTTTGTGCCCATTTCTTTTGGTTCTATCCTTGTAGGAGATAGAGAATAACAAAATTGTTGTCTTTATTTAATAATTCAAATAATAGAAGCCAATTAATTTGCTGTCTTTTTCTAGCATGGTGTCTGACACAGTAGGTGTTCAATAACTCCTTGTTGATTGCTTTTCTTCAGATTACATAGCCACCACTTCTAGTGGTTTTTTGAGAAGCCAAGAAACTTTATAAATCCTAGCACCATATAACCATTTCTTGTGGAGCTGAAATTTTACCCATACAGTTATTTTTATTATGCCTGCTGCTCAAGGACCAACTTAGCTTTAGCTACCTATTGAGAGGTTTATTTTCTAGGTGATAAATTCTTGGACCATAACTCATCAGGATATGCATACAAATTTTAAAATAGCCGTCTGTTTGAAAAGGAGACTAAGCTAAGAAGCAACATTTTTAAATCGTTTATGAACATCACTTTAAATAGTGAGACGGAGAAAAGTTATGTAATCAAGTAGAAGGAAACTGGCAGGTTCTCCTTTGAGAAGTAAATAAAGAAATGGGTTTCACCTTGCCTCCAAAGGCAGTGCATCGCCCTTCATGGCTTGCTTCCCCTCACCTAGTTGTTCTCGATGACCATGGCCTCGGGGAACACTTTGCAGTTTATGTGTCAATATCTGTTCTAGAGAATGAAGAAACCAAAGTTTTGTTAGGAATGTGAAGAGATCCTTTAAACCAAGTGAACCTACCTTGTTGCGTGGTCCCTCTGATGTGGGGATTGAAGGCAACACAGATGATGGAAAGTTTTGTTTGAGATTAATAAATGAAAATAGAAAACTGCTAGATTATTCAGAAGGCTCATGCTTCTTTCTCATGAGTATTATCTACAAGATGAGAACAAGAGGGTGCCTGAAATGGTGAGGATTAAGCGTACATAATAACAGTAAAGAGCATTCATACAGTGCTTTGAGGTTTGCAGAGTGTTTTACAAGTATGTCATTTGACCTTCACAACAACCTTATGAGGCAGATGCTTTTATCTCAATTTTACAAATGAGGAAACTGAGGCAAACAGGTGAAATAATTTGCTCTAGGGTCACACAGCTAGCAAGTACCTGAAGCAGGGTTTGAACTTGGTTCTCCTTAACTCTCAGGTAGAGTACCCTGTCACCCTGCAGGAGCATTTGCCAGTCTCACTTCTGATAGAGGCCTTGGCACCACCTCGCTGCCTTCTGGACAGACAGTAACTACGTGTTAGTGAAGTAGGAGTGTTTTAAAATCAGCTCTCTGTGTGATAGCTCCAGCCTGACATTTAAGTTAAATAAAATGTTGACTGAAAAAAAATGGACATCATTTGTCATCAGACACTGACCATTCCAACCTGCTGATGTTTTGGCTCTTGCCTTCTTCAGGCCATATTCAGGTCAGGTTTCATTATAATAAATAACCACATATGAGAAGGTCTTTTAACGTACCCAAGTACCACTGCACATTGTAAATTGTCTCTTTTTCATACCCACCAACTACAACCATCTGGCCCTCCGGGGCAGGTGAGCCAGCCCAGCTGAAGCATTGGGACAGCCCTGGCTGGTGCCAGGCTAGTTAAGTTGCTGCCACAGGTTGTGTTTTGGGCCCCTCTTCTCCTTATATACTCTTTCAGTAATCTTATTAGTTCTGTGAGTGTCTAACTCCAGTCTCTCTTCTCAGCTTCCATCCCTGATCACCGGTTGCCTATTGAACATTTCGAACTGGTTACCATGAAGACGTCTTAAATGTGATAGGTCCTGGACTAAACTCACCTTTCCTTCTAAATCCTCCCCTCTTGCAAATTTCCCTATTTCTATAAAAGGCACCAGCACAAGAAGAATCATTTTAGGTTTATAATCTTTGCATTATCCTGGACTCCTCACTTACCCTCAGCCTGCATAGCTAATCAACTGCCACAGCTTGCTGTCTCTGTCTTCACAGCATCTCTTGCAGCTGACCTTTTCTCTGCAGAGCTACCACCTCTGTTCAGCCCCTCACCTAGATTGTTGGAATAGCCTGCTATTTAGCCTTCCTGCCTCTAGTCTGTCCCCACTCCATCCTACACACTGATACCAAAGTAATTTTCTTTAAATGCATCTCTGAGCATTTGACTCATATATTCATCCAACTCCATTACTTTCCTGTTGCTTATAGGAAAAATATCAACTCCTCTGTTTAGCTTTTAAAGCTAAACAACCTTGCCTCAACCTTTCTTTCCTGTCTTAATGGACGTTATTCTTCTCACATTTTGCAGACATAGATGGAATGCTGTCTGTACCAGTAGAGTGATGTCATCGAGTTAACAAATCTCTCTGTTATGGTGGATTTTTTTTTTTAATGCTCTCCAGTATTGGTTCCCAGCCAATGAGCTGCAGATCCTTTGATGCTATGGAGTTACCCCAAGGTATCCATGATTCC